GTGTGTGTGTGTGTGTGTGTGTGTGTGTGTGTGTGTGTGTGTGTGTTGTGGGGGGTCATTCCGGTTGAGGTGGATGCGAGCCATAATTGAGCTCAGTTAGATGTTGGCGAGAGACGAGGCTCCGTGTTGTAAATAGGATCCACTTCTCCCAGCTGATTCAAGACATCAGACTAAGTTGTGTGTGTTTGTGTTGTGTGTGTGTGTGTGTGTCACAGTGTAATGCTGGCAGCTGGGTGCCTACAGTACCTGCCTGCTGCTCTGTTATTCTCTTACACACACACAGCAGACACACACTCCTCCGTCTTCCTGTCTCCTGTGTCGGGGAGTGGAGTAGATGTTGTGGACCGATAGTAGCCCAGTGCCACTTCCTGGTTTTACCGATAAGCTCTATGCTGCAGATGGCTATCACTTAAAGGCTCCACACACACACACAGACACACACACACAACAAGTTTGTTTTGTGAATATTTAAAATGTTTTTTATAATTTCAGCCCTGCATCCACAAAAAAACAAACAAAACAAAACAAAAAAAAAAAAAACGTGTTAGGAGTTCCTAAATGTTTAGTTTAGTTGTCAGAGTGGAAAACCCTTCAAACTCCAGTGTTGTGTTTTGTTGTGGACGTCCTGATTGTGTCCTCTGGTGTGAGATGGAACAGAGACAGATGTTGTGTCCTCAGTCAGTTTAATGTGACACGAACAAGTTCCAATTTGTCGCCGGTCAGTTTTTACACTTTTATCCAGCGTCCTCGTCTTTTTTCTTCTGAAGTCTGGAGCTTCTGCTCCATGTCTTGTTTCCTGTTTCTGGTGTCATTTTGTGGGCGCGCCTCAAGGCCGGGCATCGTTACTGTTGGTGGGTTTATGAGGAAAAAGATGGTTTTAGGAAGACAGCATTCCCGACAGCATTTCCTGCAGATTTTGCAGGACTGGTCTCCTTTTAAGGTCCCGTCCACGTGGACGGGACCTTAAAGGAGACCAGTCCTGCAAAATCTGCATTTTTTCAGCCTTTAAATACATTTTGTTGTAGACCTGGAGTCTGTAGGAGGCTGAAAAGTGTAATTTAGTTTCTGTGCTGTAAATACTCTTATGTTCTGTTTGGGTCCGATTCTTCAGTCCGATCAGATTCTGTTATTGAACAAGAAAATCACAGAATTTACTAAGAAAGATCAGGAACTGACAGAGAAATAATTCTGTGAATTTGTACTTCTGCAGGTTCATCGTTTTCATTCTCCTCTGGTTCTGGATCTGACTCTGGGTCTGGCTCTGGTTATTGGTCAGACTCTGGGTCTGGGTCTGGCTCTGGTTCTGGGTTTGGCTCTGGTTCTTGGTCAGACTCTGGTTCTTGGTCAGACTCTGGTTCTTGGTCAGACTCTGGTTCTGGGTCAGACTCTGGTTCTGGGTCAGACTCAGGTTCTTGGTCAGACTCAGGTTCTTGGTCAGACTCAGGTTTTTGGTCATACTCTGGTTCTGGGTCATACTCTGGTTCTGGGTCAGACTCTGGTTGTGGGTCAGACTCTGGTTGTGGGTCAGACTCTGGTTGTGGGTCAGACTCTGGTTGTGGGTCAGACTCTGGTTCTTGGTCAGACTCTGGTTCTTGGTCAGACTCAGGTTCTTGGTCAGACTCTGGTTCTGGATCTGACAGGTCTTCCCTTGATGTTTTTGAATCAATTTGTAAATAAAAAGTTTCTGCGCAGCTATATAATCATATATCTGCTGTTAAACTACAAAACTGATCAAAGAGACAGCACCAAAACGAGTTCTCTGAGAACAGAGGTGAAAGAGGGGCCTTTGGGAACCACAGAAACCAGGAATTCAGACCAAAGCATTGCTGTTCCACGTTATATGAGGTCACCTTGAAGGTGGACTTGATCTGAGCTGCAGTTGTTCACTGATGGTGGAAATCTGTATTGTTGGTCCTGAACATTATTCAGTTATTGTGTGAAATCTTATGAAGCATTGACAGTAATGAGATCATTTCTTCTCCTTTGACACGTATCTCTTTCCACACTAAGTGCAGTTTCAACAGTTAATGTATCAAAGTGTTCAGCTCCTTCAGGACATTTCAGCAATTTATAATTTTTGACACATTCAGCTTTTCTGCTGTTTTTCTCTCATTGGAACTGAATGAAGCTGTTTTCAACATCCTCAAAACTGATTAAAATGTTCATAAATATTTATTGAACTTTTTATGTTTTAGTAATTTTTTTAAACTCCTTTGTACTGTCAGCCTCTTTCAGCTTCTATTTTGACAATTTTAGCTTTTTCTAACTCTTTTAGTTATCTTATTTTCTGCCGTTCTTCTGTTAAAAAATTCAGCTGTTTTTTGTGCTACTTTTTGGCTAATTTGAGCTTTTTTCAGCGTTTTTAGTTTTTCTAATCTTTTCTGCTATTCTAATGTCAACTTTTTGTGCTAATTTCAGCTGTTTTTGTGTTTTAAGCCATTTTTAGCCATTTTGAGCTTTTTTTCAGCTAAATTTGCCTTTTTGTGATATTTTTAACTTCTTACTGCTTAATTCAGAAAACGTGATTTTTACGTCTGTTTTTATTTAAGCTACTTTTAAGCTATTTTTAAGCTAGTTTCAGCTTTTTCAGCATTAAGCATTCACACTGCATTTTCACAGGAAATATAAATTCTCTAGTTTATTTTGTTCTCGCCCACCTCGGCGTCTGCTCTCATGTTTATGGATCTGCTGGAGTAAAGCTTAGAGATGAAGAACCTGGGTCAGTTTTTCAGGATTTGACCATAGTTTTCTGATCTGGACTCGCCCTCTGTCTGAGGTGGACACAGGTCTGGACGTTGGACTCGGGTCGGAGACGACTTTGTGGCTCTTTCAAAACAAAAGTCTGGCGGATTGCTCGGCCGTGTTTGACTATCAGGAGGCGGGGCCGTGCGACTCGAGCGAGGAAGCCGAGACGTTCTGGAGACTCGACTCAACCTTCGCTACCTGTTGGCAGAGCAGAGCTCCGCCCCCCTGCTGGCTCCTCCGTGGAAGCAGAGCCTCTGGTTATCTGCTTGATTTCACTTAGCGTGTACGTATGTGTGTGTGGCAGAGCAGCGGGGAGGTGTGTGTGTGTGTTGTTACTCCCCACACACACAGGCAGGGCCCCCTGTGAGAGGTAGAGTGATGTATTGAGGGAGAGGGCTGATTAATGAGGAGCGTTTATTAGAACATCTGTGTCAAAGATGGTGGAGGAAGCAGCGAGCGACGGGAGGGATGTGCAGGCCTCTCGTTTGTTGCCTGGAGCCGCGTTAGCCCAGATATACTGTAAATAAAACATGGCAGGCTGGAGGAGAGGAGTTCATTATCCCCCTGACTGAAGGGGGAAAAAAAACTCTTCTCACTTTAAATTTATGCTTTCAGGTGGATCTTTGGGCTCAGAGTTGGCTACCAGAACCAGGTTAAAGTGGAATGTAAGGCTTGCTGCCAAATCCACCAATTATCATCCCAAATATGCACCTTTTTTCCCCTATAACAGTAAATCAAAGAGAAACCAGTCGTTATGTTTTGGATGTTCTAAGCAGTAGGTAGAAATCAATATTTTTAGAACCTAAATAGGTTAAAGATAAAATTGTGTAAATCTAAAACAGGGGAACGTCTTCATGCATAAATGTATGACCCATTAAAGAGCTAATTCTGACTTCCTAACCCAAACCTGAACTCCCGTTTTTTTCTTTTTTTATTTTCATTATTGAATGAAGCCTTTTCAATATTTCTCTTAAAGACGACTTTGTTATGGTTTTAACTGAGGACCTCTTCATTCCCTCGACGCACAGCTGCAGTCCGACTCCTCAGCTGCTTCCAGTTTTCTGACGGGGAAAAAATGAGAACTAATCAGCTGAGTGTGCGTTTCATTTGTGTCGTTCGAACGGGTCAGAACCTTGAACTTTACGTGACTGAACTGACATTTTCATCAACTTTAGAGTTCAGTTTTGTGATTTTTCTTCAACGATGATGTCACGTATTTTTACTTTTTGAGTCGAAACTCTTCTTCCTCCCACAGCTCTTTTTGTCACAAACACAAATTGCACAGAAAATCTGGAGCTGGAAAACCCGAAAACATTTCGCTCGTTCTGCCAGAAGCCCCCCCCTGTCCAAACGCATATATTATAGAGAATGATAAAGATGGCATACCTATAATTTGAAAACAGATGGTTTGGTTCTTTTGAATATTTATAACAATCAAAAACAATTCTTCCTGCACCAGCCTCGGTGTTCACCCGGAGGCTGGCAAGGTGTTAAAACATTCATTTTAATGAAACTGGATGGGAGTTTTAAAAAAGAGAAAGAAAAACAACAGCTCTTTGTTTTTCTCAGGTGAGGAAAGTAAATGTTGTTGGGGGGTGGGGGGCAAAGAGCCAACCGTATGGGGGGGATTTGGGAGCAACGACATGCTCTCCGCGGACCCCGATGCGCTTGAAGTCGTCGTCTCGAACAGATTGCATAAATAAAGAGCTGAGAAATAAAAGAGGCTTATCTGTTTTTACTGCTACCTCCACAGCTGCCGACGCACAGAAAGTTCCTTTAAAGGTAAATATTGCGTTAATAATGTCAACAAACGCTTTGAAACCCGACCAAACTCCGAGGCATTTGATAAAAACCAACAAAAACTATAAATTCATGTTTATTTTTTGTTCTTTAAAAGAGAAAAACCTTGAAAATCTGCATGTTTTTCCAGTTTTTAGTTCTGGTTTTGACCTTTTTCTTTATATAATTCATTTGTTTTGACAAGCTTTAGTGTTCCTGCATGTTTCACAAGCTTTAATATTACATCTGTATTTTCCACAATCTAAAGCCCCCCCTCCCCTCCCCATCTCCCTCTCAATCAATCTCTCTCTTTCAGAGTATGATTTCCTCCATTGTGAACAGCACTTACTATGCAAATGTGTCGGCGGCAAAGTGTCAGGAATTTGGGCGCTGGTATAAACATTTCAAGAAGACAAAAGATATGATGGGTAAGCAAAACGGAGGGGCGCAAAAAGTATGGCGCTCACACTTTTGTCTCTTTGCACGCACACACACATTTACACGCTCACACCAGCAATCACCACAATATGTCGTCCCCCCCTCCCGAGCGAACGACTCTTTGTCTTCCTGCCGTTGCACGCAGCAGAAATACATTTTTATCTTGTTATCTAATAATTCCTGATGACTCCGTGCAGTTGAACCCGGTTTTATCTTTAAATTACCCATCGCTGCTCTAACTAACACTAATGTCGGAGCCAAACGGAGGCCTCTGAATGTTTTCTGTTAGCAGAAGAGGCAGGAAGATTACTGGTCCACTGCCTGGTTTAAATGAGATTTTCCTTATCTACCTTCTACCGATGCGTTTCCGTATATATCATCTGGGAAACTAGCCTTTGACCCAGCAGGAAATGTGGTTTTAGAGTTCCAGAAGCTGTTTTTTTTTCTGTTTTAACTAAACAACAACACCCAGACTTTAAATGCTGAGATATTAGTTTGAACTAAATCTTTTTTTTCTTTATGCTACTCCTCCCGATGATGACAGATGAGATAAAATATCAAAGTTTTCACGTCCTCCATGCAAATAGTGTGTTGTGATCATATTTTATCTGATCCCTCCGCCCCCCCTCTTCTTTTAAAGTGACAGCAGACACAGGGTACACTGTTCACTCCTGACCTGCTGTTCTCTTACATACTCCTACACGTTTTCTGTCACACTTGTTTTATGATCCTCAAACGTGGAAAAGCTGCAGCTGCCAGTCTGGACGTTTTTTTATTTATTTGTTTGTTTATTTTAGTGATGCTGATGTTTTATTCCTGCCGAGCTAGAAGTTAGAGGGATGATCTGTGGAAGGCTTTAACCCTGTTTTTCTGTCCTCTCTACTCTGCATTGTTTGTGTGTGTCTGTTTGTGTGTGTGTGTGTGTGTGTGTGTCTGTGTGTGTGTTTGTGTGTGTGTGTGTGTGTGTGTGTCTGTGTGTGTGTTTGTGTGTGCGTTCCTGCCCCACCATCTGACCGTGCAGGCATGCGCCAAACGTCCCAGCTGGAGGGCTACCTGGGGACGTGTGTCCTCCGTGAGAGCCCACGTGCCAATGCACTAGGTACGTTACAACATGGGCACACACACACACACACACACACACACACACACACACACNCACACACACACACACACACACACACACACACACACACACACACACACACACACACACACACACACACACACACACAGAGACATAAAAATACCAACATTAATAATTGTTTTCTTCAGATTTATCATAACCAGGTTTGCTGTAATTATGTGGTTCCACACTTAAAAAAAACGTCTCATGACCTTCTCTGGGGGAGATATTGATACACCAAAATATCACGATGTTTAATTTCCTGATAATGTATCGGTTTTTAATTAAAGCTTAACGGATAGATGTTTTAAGAAGAAAAGTGGAATAAAAATGCGGTATTGTTCAGTGTTGTTCTGAGTTTTTTTAAAATTAGAATCTTTTAGAGAAAAAAATGGCAAAATATTGCCTTGCTTACAGTATCATATATCGCGATGTATTGCGATATATCGCGATGTATTGAATCATATCACAAAATTCTTGCCAATACACAGCCCTAACTTTCTCAGGTGATATTTTTTCTGAATTTCTGTAACATGTGTTCACAAACACAGCAGGACCACAGTCTTCCTCTGCAGCTACGTGCTGTGGGGAAGAGTCTCCGTCACATTTGTTCAAAACAAAACAAAATTAATAAAGTTCACTCGGCGTCGAAGTAGAGAAAATAAAGTTTGAACCTCTCCTTAATATTTTTACTGTGGGTTGAGTGGAAAAAAGTTAAATAAATGAGTTTAAAAATAGTTTAAAAAATCTTATCTTGCAGTAAAATGTCTCTTTGCAGCTCTAGTCCCAGAAAGTACAGAACTTGATTTCTTTATTCTTTAGAGTTAAATACGTTTGAAAAAAGTAAGCAGAATGTGGAAAATATTACTGTCTTTGTCTTTTGTTTTTTACATCTTTTAAAATCTCAAACCAAACAAAGATTCACTCGTCCAGACTGAGCGTCAGTATTTTTATCTCATAATAAAGTTGACTGGATGGAAAGAAACACTCAGAAGTCATTTTAGGCAATTTATGAAGTCATTTTTCTGAAATTCACAAACATTCAGCGAGTTTAAAAGTCAACATAAAACAGAAAAAAACTAAATATCTCAAGTTGACCCTGACAGGTGGCATCATGTCAAACCCACAACACAAAGTCCCCTTTTTTTCAGCTGGAATATTCATCTAAATTCTGTGTAATCTCAACTTTAAAGATGCTTGGAGACGCTGAGAGTTTTTAATCATCTGTCTGGGTCTGAGTTATGAAAAGCACCTAACCACACTCGTAAACAGAGGCAGAGATAACATCAACATGACTTTACTCAGGCTGTAATATCCTCACACCATCGTAGCCAAACCTCAGATTAAAAACCCCTCACAAGGTGGCAACCGCAGACGCACGCCGCCCCCCCGCCCTCCAAACCTCAGCTCTTACCATGGGCTGATATCGGCTGGGCTCAGACCCAGACCCAGACCGAGCAGAACCAGCTGTAGTTAGACAATATTCAGCATTTTGAGAGGTCAGTTTTTGAAAATCGAACCCACCTGGGCTCGCCGTGAACCTGCTGAGTCAGCATTCACTGTTATTTTTTTCCGTACTTTCACACTTTATGCTATTTTAGCTAATCATAAATCAAAACGTTCAACTCCTACAGATGATTAGTTTTTTAAATTGTTTTCCCTTAAAAATAAGTCAAAATCTCTTCAGCTCCCTTAAAATAATCCTTCGTTTTTAATCTGCTTCATCATAATTGCTCTTTTTCTTATTTCATCTGTTAGCGTCTAGCTAGCATTCTGCTAATTCTGGCTAACATTTCTCTACTTTAACTCTTAGCTAGTGTTTTGCGACTTGTAGAGAAAATTTATCGTAGAAATGCAAACTGCAGCAGCAGAAGTGTGAGCCTCCGGGAGAACTCTTCTCAGCGGTGGTTCTGTCCCGGAGCCAGGCAGGTCAGGACCTGATCCCAGGTAGTCTGAGTTAATCTGAGGAGGTGTTAGCGGCTGCCGGCGGTCGAGCTGCTGCTTCTTCCGCCGTCACCTCCTCTGGAGGGGAACGAACAGTCGAGTGAGAGTCGGGTCAACGTCTCTCTTTCACATTCCCTCTCACAAACACCCCCGCCCCCCCTCCAGCCCACATCCCATTCCCATTGTGCGTTTAATCCGGGGCTCTTTGTGGCAGGATTCCACACCGGGACTCCCGCCTCTGTGGCAGCCTTTTTCTCCCAGGGCCTGCCATGCTCTTCTGTCACCCCTTCTCTTTTCAATTTGCATGGAAATGCCTCCATGTGCCTGCATGTTTGTGTGTTTGTGTGTCTGTGTGTCGCGAGCATGCCCCCCAGCACTCACACACTCCAACACACGAGTGAATAGGCTCGTCATACCATCAGAGCCAGGGATTATGAGCAGAGATGTGATTATTACAAAGATTTATTTATTTATTTTTGTTTTTGTTTTTGTTTTACTCCTCTCCACTCAATAGACACGTCTTGGCCAGATGTGGTGATTATCTTGGATATTTACGGAAAAACATCCATCTTTCATCTGCTGAAAAATAAAAACACATTTTCCTGACGGTAGCACCTTGTGCGTGGAGTGTGGAGGCCGCAGCCCACTTCTGAGGTGTTAACGTTTCCATCCGTATGAATTCCTGAACGCTGCCCCCTCACTCGTTCGGCGCGGCGTTTGCAGAAATCCTCAGCATAAGTGATTTTCCTTTAAAACCGCTTATTCGCTTTACTGTGGGTAGTTCTTTGAATCTTAAATCATTGTTTTTATCCTCTAAGCACATAATTTAAACCTGTCTTAAAATATTCCCCAGCAGCCATTACGGAATTAAGGATTCCCAAAGCATAGAGATGCCACAGAAGAAAAAAGAAAACGGCTCATATTTATGTTTTTGCTTCCTTCCATATCGAGTTAAAACAGCTAATAAAGTGTTTTCAGCTTCCATATTCTCCGGTGTGTTCTGGTTCTGTCTGCTTCACATTTAAAGCCCTAAAACGGTCACGTTGGCCAGCGTGTGTTCCTTATTTTAGAATTAACGATGCAAAGAGAAACACACATAAATCCCAACACACACATCCTCTTCTGTCTGCGTGAGGAGCTTCTTCTTTTTTTTTTTCCCTCGAACACGAAGCCGCAGACGATCCAACCTCGATTCTGAAGGCAGGACTCGGGTCAAACACAATGAAGTTCTTTTATCTGAGTTTCCATCTTTTCAGTTCTCTTCAGCTGATCGGCTGTTGGCGACGACTTGGAAGAGAAATTAGTGATTTTATTTCCTCAGTTCAACTTTGAGGCATCTGTGATTTCTTTAAAAAAAAGCGTTTTCTCGTAAAAACAAACGAGAACGTTCGACAGCAGATGAAAGATTCACTTAAAGTGATTCGTTCAGAGACGATCCGTTTTATTTCTTCTGATTTGAGGCGCCAATAATGCAGCACGATGGCTCAGTGGTTAGCACCGACACCTCACAGCAAGAAGGTCCTGGGTTCGATCCCCGGTTCGGACCTGGGGTCTTTCTGTGAGGAGTTTGCATGTTCTCCTCGTGCTTTCGTGGGTTTTCTCCGGGTACTCCGGTTTCCCCCACAACACAAAACATGTACAGTAGGTTGCCTTCAGGCCCAGGCCTCCCTTGAAAAAGAGATTTGAGATCTCAATGGGACTTGCCTGGTTAAAAAACAGTAAATAAAAAATAATAGATAAAATAAATAAACTGTCTAAGTTCAAAACTTTAATCTTTTCACCAAAGTCAGCAAATTTCTTTCAAACACCAAAGATCAAAGATCATGTTGGCAAAATATCTCAAGAATCAGGAAATTTTCATCAGATAAACAACTTAAAACCTATCGGTCACAACTCCGTCAGTTTTAAGGTTCACTAGAGAATCTGTGTTTCCTGTGAAAATGCAGTGTGAATGCTTCATGCTGAAATCAGCTGAAGAAACTGACAAAACTGTTCATGTGAGTTAATTTTGAACCGATGAGTTTTGCTGAAAGTATGAAAACAAAAGTAGACAGCAGCAAAAACAAGCTGAAGTTAGCAGACGGTAAATAAAACTCACATTGACAGAAAAGCAAGAAAAAGCTGCGATTTATAGTTAAAGCAGCAGAAATTAGCAGAAAATTTGCTTAAAAGTAGCTTAAAAAGCTGATAATAGAATAAGACGGTGAATTTAAATGAAAGAAACTCAAATTAGATGAAAATAGCTAAAAAGTAGCCAAAGAGGCAAAAACAGCTGAAATGAGCAAAAATAGCTAAAAGAAGTATAAAAACTCTAAATTGGCAGGATGTTGATAGAAACCTAAAAACATTTAAATTAACAGAAAAAAACTAAAAAGTAGCCGAAAAGGGTGAATTTAAATGAAAAAATCTCAAATTTGCTGAAAATTGCTCAAAATAAGTTAAAGAGGCAAAAATCAGTAAAAATCAGCTCAGATGAGCATGAAAATCTCAAGTTGATAATGCCTAAAAAAGTTTAAATTAACAAAAGAATAGCTAAAGGAGCAGAAAAATGGCTGAAAAAGCAGAAAAAAGCTAAAATTATCAATAGACAAAAAAAGTTGAAAGAAGCTGAAATGAGCACAAAAAGTTGAAAAATGCAGAAAAGAAAAGCAAAATGTAAAAAGTTTAGTTAAGAACTATAAACATTTTAAAAGGTTTTTAAGAATGTTTGAGATAACTTCATTTTTAAATAAATTTTTTTTAGAAAAAGCTAAACAGCTGAATAAGTAAAAGTTGCTGAAATGCTAGAAGTTATGGCACCCATGGTGTACAGCTGAATGTTTTGATGCGTGAAGTTTTGAAACGGCACAAAAATTGTGGAACGAGTTCGATGCTGAAACATACGGAAGAAAAAGTTATTTCAATAACGCATATTATTAGCATATGAAAAATTAAGCTAGCATATCCTTCACACAACAACCTAAAGTTTGGATGTTAGTAGCCGAGCGTCATCGTCACACTCATGGCTCAGAAGAGTATTTTGAATTTGTTTGATCTTCCCTGTGGATGAGCGGCGGTGTGATGTGTGTTTCTTCACTGAATAATAAAAGTAAACATGTCTGCCCTCCTCCAGCAGAGATGGACGGCCTGTCGGACCTCTCCCCTCCTGGCTCCAACCACAACCACCTGGGTTTCCCCCAGCAGCAGCCCATCCCGGGCAGCACGGCGGAGCAGACCCCTTCCTCCCCGGTGCCCCCTCTGTCCCACGCTCCTCCTCACGGCGGCCAGACGGGCGGCCGGCAGCCGCAGCTCCCGGGCCTGCACCACCCGGGCCTGGTGTCCACCCCCATCAGCCCCCAGCTGGTCAACCAGCAGCTGGTCATGGCCCAGATCCTCAACCAGCAGTACGCGGTGAACCGGCTGCTGGCGCAGCAGTCCCTGTCGCAGCAGTACCTCAACCACCCGCCGGTCAACCGCAGCTCCCACACCAAGCCCCTGGAGCCTCAGGTGGGCTCCAACACGGAGGTCTCCTCAGAGATCTACCAGTGGGTCCGGGACGAGCTGAAGCGGGCCGGCATCTCGCAGGCCGTCTTCGCCCGAGTGGCCTTCAACAGAACCCAGGTGAGCCCAAAACCTTTGACTTCAAAACAACACCGCAGACGGGAAGAGGAGGCAAAGATGGCCGCCACAACTGAACCTACAAAAACTAGACCTTTAATTATCTGTGGATCAATTAAATCAATTTTCACTAAGTGATTCATCAGCTCTATTTATAGAAAAAATTCAACCTGGTGCCTTTAACATGCTCAGGAGTTGCTTGTGTGCCCCCCCCCCCCCTTTTTTTGCTGCAACATTAAGATTTGAGCTTAATTTTTCATAATGTTGTGCTCGTTCTGACCCAGATACTCACAAGTTAGAAAAAAAACTGCATCTTCCTGCAAAACATCTGCAGATCCCTTCATGTTGGCCCGCTGAAGTCATGAGGAAGTTACACATCCAGGTGTATAAAACTCCAGCTTTAAAAATAAACCTTAGAGAGATTTAACCCTTTATTCAGAACTACATTATCACCCTCTGACGATGTCTGCTTCTAAGTGACTTTCATTGCTTCAGGTTTAGAGAAATCCTTTAAAACTCGACCAGAAGCTCCAGTTTTCTGGACTCAGAAAGGAAGCCACCAGCTCCCGTCTGACGACGAGTTGATTTAAAACACCTAAAGGGATATCGACTCTTTCTGCGCTCCTATCGACGTCCATATTTTCAAGCTGCTTCTGAGGGGATCAGCTCGTGAAATCAAACAGAGCTGTCACTTTGACATCCAAACGTAAAATATAAACATCATTTGTTGCTTTTAGCTGATGTAGGACATGCAACACGTTTGTATCACATTTTAGATTTAAAGCGTTGTTTCTGCACAGATCAGAAAGCAGAGTTTTATATCAGGAATTAGCACCGATGTGCTGCTGGAGGATTATTTATTAGGTTTGTGTCTTTTCCACCAGCCTGTGTTAATAATCAGTGGGGGGAGGGGCGCCGTGCTTTGACATGAAAGGCTTTTTTTTATTTTTTTGGCGAGGAATCAGATTGACCAAAGATAGACGGTCAGGGTCGGAGGCAAAGAATGATAAGCATTTAAAGCTGCAGTCGACAGACATCAGCAGCTCTGATCATTAATCCAAGACTTAAATGCTTTAAAAAAAAGCATAAGTATGTTTTCCCCATCACCTTGTTTTATTACTAAATCATACCTATTGATGGTGAGAGGAGCGCAGCGCCGGTTTGCTCAGTGTGTGGCCGAGCGTTGATGAAAAGGCCCAATCACACATCACTGATAATGGAGTCATCGCCGCCTCATAATGATGGAATCGAGCGCTATTGAGACGTAAACAGAGGATACGCTGATTGCCCGCTCAACAAGACAAGTTATTTTAGCTGTGCTTTTATCCAAAGCTGCTTAAAAAACACAAGAAAAAAAACATTTTTTAAAACGTGCAGAATTACTTTTAAGTGATCGTCGTTC